AAGACGCGAGGGGGGAGAGGGGGGTCGCGAGAGCGGAGAGGGAAGACGCGAGCGCGAGAGGGAAGACGCGAGGGGGGGGAGGTAAGCCGCGAGCGCGAAGAAGGAAGACGCGAGGGGGGTCGCGAGAGCGAAGAGGGAAGTCGCGTGGGGGGTCGCGAGAGCGAAGAGGGAAGACGCGAGAGGGGTCGCGAGAGCGAAGAGGGAAGCCGTGAGGGGGGGAGGTAAGCCGCGAGCGCGAAGAAGGAAGACGCGAGGGGGGTCGCGAGAGCGAAGACGCGAGGGGGGTCGCGAGCGCGAAGAGGGAAGACGCGAGGGGGGTCGCGAGCGCGAAGAGGGAGGTCGCGAGAGGGGTCGCGAGAGCGAAGACGCGAGGGAGGTCGCGAGCGCGAAGAGGGAAGACGCGAGGGGGGGAGGGGGGTCGCGAGAGCGGAGAGGGAAGACGCGAGCGCGAGAGGGAAGACGCGAGGGGGGGGAGGTAAGCCGCGAGCGCGAAGAAGGAAGACGCGAGGGGGGTCGCGAGAGCGAAGAGGGAAGTCGCGTGGGGGGTCGCGAGCGCGAAGAGGGAAGACGCGAGGGGGGTCGCGAGAGCGAAGAGGGAAGTCGCGTGGGGGGTCGCAAGAGCGAAGTCGCGAAAGGGGTCGCGAGAGCGGAGAGGGAAGACGCGAGCGCGAGAGGGAAGACGCGAGGGGGGGGAGGTAAGCCGCGAGCGCGAAGAAGAAAGACGCGAGGGGGGTCGCGAGAGCGAAGAGGGAAGTCGCGTGGGGGGTCGCGAGAGCGGAGAGGGAAGACGCGAGCGCGAGAGGGAAGACGCGAGGGGGGGGAGGTAAGCCGCGAGCGCGAAGAAGAAAGACGCGAGGGGGGTCGCGAGAGCGAAGAGGGAAGTCGCGTGGGGGGTCGCGAGAGCGAAGAGGGAAGTCGCGTGGGGGGTCGCGAGAGCGGAGAGGGAAGACGCGAGCGCGAGAGGGAAGACGCGAGGGGGGGGAGGTAAGCCGCGAGCGCGAAGAAGGAAGACGCGAGGGGGGTCGCGAGAGCGAAGAGGGAAGCCGTGAGGGGGGGAGGTAAGCCGCGAGCGCGAAGAAGGAAGACGCGAGGGGGGTCGCGAGAGCGAAGTCGCGTGGGGGGTCGCGAGAGCGAAGAGGGAAGACGCGAGAGGGGTCGCGAGAGCGAAGAGGGAAGCCGTGAGGGGGGGAGGTAAGCCGCGAGCGCGAAGAAGGAAGACGCGAGGGGGGTCGCGAGAGCGAAGAGGGAAGACGCGAGGGGGGTCGCGAGAGCGAAGAGGGAAGTCGCGTGGGGGGTCGCGAGCGCGAAGAGGGAAGACGCGAGAGGGGTCGCGAGCGCGAAGAAGGAAGACGCGAGGGGGGTCGCGAGCGCGAAGAGGGAGGTCGCGAGAGCGAAGAGGGAAGACGCGAGAGGGGTCGCGAGCGCGAGAAGGAAGACGCGAGGGGGGTCGCGAGCGCGAAGAGGGAGGTCGCGAGAGCGAAGACGCGAGGGGGGTCGCGAGCGCGAAGAGGGAAGACGCGAGCGCGAGAGGGAAGACGCGAGGGGGGGGGAGGTAAGCCGCGAGCGCGAAGAAGAAAGACGCGAGGGGGGTCGCGAGAGCGAAGAGGGAAGTCGCGTGGGGGGTCGCGAGAGCGGAGAGGGAAGACGCGAGCGCGAGAGGGAAGACGCGAGGGGGGGGAGGTAAGCCGCGAGCGCGAAGAAGGAAGACGCGAGGGGGGTCGCGAGAGCGAAGAGTGAAGTCGCGTGGGGGGTCGCGAGAGCGAAGAGGGAAGACGCGAGAGGGGTCGCGAGAGCGAAGAGGGAAGCCGTGAGGGGGGGAGGTAAGCCGCGAGCGCGAAGAAGGAAGACGCGAGGGGGGTCGCGAGAGCGAAGTCGCGTGGGGGGTCGCGAGAGCGAAGAGGGAAGACGCGAGAGGGGTCGCGAGAGCGAAGAGGGAAGCCGTGAGGGGGGGAGGTAAGCCGCGAGCGCGAAGAAGAAAGACGCGAGGGGGGTCGCGAGAGCGAAGAGGGAAGTCGCGTGGGGGGTCGCGAGAGCGGAGAGGGAAGACGCGAGCGCGAGAGGGAAGACGCGAGGGGGGGGAGGTAAGCCGCGAGCGCGAAGAAGGAAGACGCGAGGGGGGTCGCGAGAGCGAAGAGGGAAGTCGCGTGGGGGGTCGCGAGCGCGAAGAGGGAAGACGCGAGGGGGGTCGCGAGAGCGAAGAGGGATGTCGCGAGGGGGGTCGCGAGAGCGAAGAGGGAGGTCGCGAGAGGGGTCGCGAGCGCGAAGAGGGAAGACGCGAGGGGGGTCGCGAGCGCGAAGAGGGAAGACGCGAGGGGGGAGAGGGCGAAACGGAGATTCGAGGAGGAAGTCCAGGAAAGGGCGAAAGTGGGAGTTTAATGGGCGAAAGTGGGAGTCTAATGGGCGAAAGTGGGAGTTTAGTGGGCGAAAGTGGGTGTCGAGGGGGTGAAAGTGGGAGTTTAATGGGCGAAAGTGGGAGTTTAGTGGGCGAAAGTGGGTGTCGAGGGGGCGAATGTGGGAGTTTATTGGGCGAATGTGGGAGTCTAATGGGCGAAAGTGGGTGTCGAGGGGGCGAAAGTGGGAGTTTAATGGGCGAAAGTGGGAGACCCATCTAGGTATGAATTATTCAATGGGCCGAATGAGGTACGTGTAAGATAAAGTGATATTAGGGTGTCCCATGAATGTTTTTCACGTTAGCCTATGAATGAGTTTGAAGGAATTTCGATTTGGTATGATTGAAACCGCCGCGATCGCCCTGTAATGACGGATGTGGACTTTCTCAAGAGTGTACAGGTTGAATATTCGGAAATGAGTGTGTACGGGATAATGGATGACACTATGAAAACTTTGGAGTTAAAACAAGGAAAATAGATCTTCTTCTGTTGCGAGCCCGGATTCATCCGAAGAAGGTTCTTGTATGAATTTGGTCGGACTGGAAAGGTGTAGTGTACTATTAACTTCTTCTTTAAGTTGAACCGATCAATGCTGAGTTCGATTGGGACGCGTTCTATCTTCATCGTTTGTACTTTCCCTACCTTGCTCCTTCCCATTATTACTTGGTATGTCTTTTGGTATGCTTCCTGTGGGATAAAAGAAAGTTAAATAAAACAAAAAGGTTTACATATATATATATAATAAAACAATCAAATCAACCCCAAACAATAAATATCCCGTAATCATTTCGAATGAAAAAAAAAAAAAAAAAGGGAAGAAACTCACGGGGCAACCTAATAAATATTCTGGAATATAATTTAGTATAATTTATTTCTATGACAGGAAATGGAAAACATAAGAACGGAAATATCGAGTCTTAGAAATCAGCAAAATTTAAACGTAAGAAGTCAGTCGATTCCGAGAGCTTTGAATTCGTTGCTCGCATCCTCCCCAGGAAATGAAAAAACGGATCCCTCGGCTTTGACGAATCCTACGAGAGTGAAAAAATTGACGAAATTTTTCGGCGACGAACCCCCACTATTAAGATTGTTTTTGAAAAAATTAGGATACGAGGTAAGAATCCTAGTTTCGCCTACCTGCCCCCCGCTCCAATCCCCCTCCCCTCCCCCGTAACGAGGATAAAAAAGAATAAACTGTTTTTATTTTATTTTGTTGTTTACAGAAATACGCAGGAGCTTTCGAAAGTGAAAAAATCGGTATGGTCGAATTGCCGTACCTGACGGAAGAAAGATTACAAAAAATGGGGATACCGATGGGACCCAGATTGAGGATATTACAAGAAGCACAAATATCATTTTGTAGGGATTCAGTTTATGTCGTTTAAAATTTTTTTTTTTTTCTTTTGATTTTTATGTAAATAAATAAATGATATTATCTAATAAATATTATTTACTTACTTGATTTAAATTAGAAAATGTGTTGCTCCTGGAGTCGAATTCCCTCCTGAGACAGGTCCACGCTTGCGAAAGTAGGAATCCCACCCGAAGAAGATCCCGGTACCTCCCCATTATACCCTTAGATAGATTCCAGATAGTTTCCAGAGAGAGTCCCCCGTATCCCGTTTGATTGTTCACCTGTCTTCCCTTGACGTCACAGCTCAGAATTTGCCCTATTTGAATCAAGTACCCAGTATCATCCCCAATGTCTCTAAAGGGTTCTACGTCATTATCCCCCTTATTTATTTATTAGGTACAGGTCTGTTTTTGTTTGGACAACCTGAAATTGAACTCCCACTACTAGGATTTAAATCTTTCCCCCATTTGGACTCAACCTGGCTACCTCAGGCCCCCCAAAATATCCAAGTTGAGGATTTACTCCTAGCAGACCCCCAGTCAACGTGGAAAATCCAATCCCAGAATCTCCACTTCTAAAACATCCTCTGTACCCAGCCTCCAAGTAGTTGGATTACAGGAGTACACCACCACTCCCGGCTGGCTTCTTCTTCTTCATTTTGTTTAAACAAACAAACAAACAAACAAACACTCGACAAACGAATTTTGTTTAAAAGGAAAAAAGAAAAAAGGAATAATCGGTTAAAATAATTTTTAAAAAAATTATTTTTATTTTATTAAAAATAATAATAATAATAATTATTATTATTATTATTATTAATAAAATTTATTTATTTTTTATTAATTAATATTAATATTATCATCATTATCATTATCATTATCATTACCATTATCATCATAATATAATAATCATAATAATATACTTTAAATGCTTATAAAATCGAAAAAATCGATCCAATATTTATTATTATTATTATTATTATTATTATTATTATTATTATTATTATTATTATTATATATAAAAACGAAACAAACAAACAAAAAAAAAAAAAAAAAGAAAAATCACAGTACATATAAAATATATATATATATATTTATACATATATATTTAAATTATTATTATTATTATTATTATTATTATTATTATTATTATTAAAGCAGAAGAAGAAATTTTCGAGGAAATGCCAAGAGGAAAAGAGTAAAGGAAAGAAAAATAGAACGTGAAATGAACGAGAGAGAGAAAGGGGGGGGGGGGAAGGGAAGGTAAAGGGAAAATTTCATCGTGAAAGTACCCACATTTTTCATTATCATTATCATTAATATTATCATCATCATCATCGTCGTCGTCGTCGTCGTCGACATCATTATTATTATTATTAATACGTATATATAAAATTTTTTTTTTACTTACCAAGAAAGCCATAATCTGAGAATATGATGACGTCATAAAATCTAGGACCGTATTAAAGGATTAATTTATTTTTACTCCCACGACGACGACGACGACGACGACGATTTTCCTTTTCTAAACGTCATAATATAATGATGCTGATAATGATAATGATAATAAAAAAACTCATCGGCGTCGTTAAAATAACAAAATAATAATAATAATAATAATAATAATAATAATAATAATAATAATAATAATAATAATAATAATAAAATAAATATAACTAATAAATAAATAAATTTCATTCGAGAGCCGTTAGATCGATCGTAATAATAATAGCAATAATAATAATAATAATAATAATGATAATAATGATAATAATATCAATAATAATAATAATAATAAAATATAAACAAAACAACAAAATAAAAAAAAAGGAAAACAAAATCATCATCATCCAAAAACGTAATACGATGACGACAATACTAATAATAATAATAATAATTACAATAAAACATCATAACGTATAAAAATGAGTAATACTAATAATAATAATATTAATAAAACGAAAAGGGCGGTTGAAAAAAATTAAACAAAAAAAAAAACAAATATATCTATCATCATCATCATCATCATCATTATTATTATTATTATTATTATTATTATCATTGTTCAGTAGCCTTTTCCATTCGCTTTCACTTCGCCGTATTTACAACTTTTTCACGTAAATTTTCTCTCTTTCTTTCTCTCTCTCTCTCACGCACACGCCAACCGTTTTTTTTCTATCTCTCTTTCTTTTCACGCGCCATCTCATTAATAATAATAATAATATTGTTTTCAAATTTACTTATTTATATATATTAAATATTATTATTACTATTATTATTATTATTATTATTATTATTATTATTATTATTATTATTATTATTATTATTATTATTATTATTAATATTGAAATATTAAAAAATTTACAACAATTATTATCATTATTATTTCATTTAAAAAAAAAAAAAACGAATTCTCGAGTAAATGTGACATTTTCTTTTTTCATCTTTTATGCAAAACTTAATAATAATAATAATAATAATAATTATTATTATTATTATTCATCGTCATCGTCTTCGTCGACGTCACATCATTATTTAATTATTTCTTTTTCCGCTAATATTAAATTCATCGGGGAAAAAAATTCCCCGTCCGTCGATCGAAACGAAAAAAATTCCCCGATAAAAATTTTCCAAACAAATAAAATACAATAAAATAATAAAATAATAATGATAACGATAACGATGATAATAATAATAATATTAATAAAACTGACAAAAATAATTCGAATAATTTTTTTAAAAAAAACGTTTTTTTTTTTTTAAACGCTTTCTTCCGGTTTTTCCGGTTCCGGTGCTTGTCTGTTTGTTGTAAAAAAAAAAAAAAAAAAAAAAAAACCAGCTAGGAGCACGACACGTGTGCTGAGCAATAATAATAATAATAATAATAATAATAATAATAATAATAATAATAAATTACCAATTATTAATTATCCGACAACATCACGTTGGATTTTTCAATAATCTTTTCTGTCGGAAATCGTAAACTCTTCGGCAAAAGAAAACCATGTCGGGCGCCATTATGCAGGGCGGTTGCCTTTGATACCTGAAATAAGGTTGTTCCAGCCCTGGAACGGGCAAAGGTTTTTCCGGAACTCCATCCTCGACCCTCTTCACGTTTTTACGGTATCTGAATTTCAAACAAAACACATTCGTAATATATCGGGGATTAGTTTCCTGGAGTAATGGAGGGTAAAAAAGAAAAGAGCAGAAGATGGAAACGGGAGAGGCAGAGAGAGAGAGAGAGAGAGAGAGAGAGAGAGAGAGAGAGGTGTGTGATATGTGCATTACCTGCAATATTCGTTATAAGTTAAAACAAAACATTTATCTTCGATGCAGGCAACTGAATTTATGTCTTTGTGTCGTGATGCGAAAATTTCATCTTGTTGATCCGAGGGTTGTCGACCCTGATCGGTGTGCTCCGGTCTGTAGTACCACAAAAGCGAGACCATCATTTCACCTGAAAGGATATATACCTTAAATTTCAGTAAACGTACAAAAACGCGTATTCGTAAATAATAATAATAATAATAATAATAAAAACTCCCGTTAATCACCATCGTCTGGATTCTCCCAGAGTGCGGCAACTTTGGCAACAAAAGGCAAATCGATCCTTCTGGGTCCGGCCTTCAGAAGAATGCAGTCCTTTGGATGAATGACGTCACCTTCGACGTGTCTCATGGCCGTGTAACATTTTCTCATAACTGGAGGTTCATCATTCTGTGAAGAGGGGGAAAAAAAAAAATTAGATTAACAAAAATCTGCTGTTGGTCTCTTTCCCTTCCTCCCTCCCCCCCCCACACGCAGCCGTTCGCAGCCTTCCCAATATATTCCCTGCCTCCCCCCCTTCTTTCTTTCCTCGATGAAAACCCATCACATCTCATATTTACCGTTAAATAAACTTTGGCATTAAAGGATTCGCTGTCCCAGGACCATCCGTTCGACCATTTCGGTGTGATACCAGTTCTCGGCGATGTCGTCACCGTCGATTTTTTCGACGTAAATTTTTTTACCACGACGACGGCTAACCTGTAGTCCGACTTTGACGTCTTCTTATTTTTACTCTGTTGCACGCTCTTGTTTAAAATGCTCAACTGTCTTTGACCGTTTTTCGTCGGATTCGAACCGACTTTTTTCTTTCCACCCGTCGCCGCCGCTGCCGCCACCGTCGTCGTCGTCGTCGTCGTGCCCGTTTTGGAATGTTCAAATATTCCCTTTCCTTTGGAGTTTTTAACGACGACATCCTGTAACTTTTTCCTGGAATCTTCAGATTTCGTTTCCTTATCCGTCAAATGATGTCGTTCCGATGATTTCGTTCTCCTGTTCGGCGAACACGATTTCGATTTTCTTTTTCCCTGAACGTCTTCGTAACCCGTCGCCGTTCTCTCCTGATGCGATTTCCTTCTCTTTACGACCTTATACGCTTCCAACTTGCAATTTTCTTCTGCTGGCTTTTTCTTTTCTTTTTTACACGGGCCTTTGACGATGACGTTTTCACTCACGGTTTCGTTTCTGTCTTTCAACAATTTCCCTTTGGGACACGTGAAATTTTTATTTTGATTTTTCTGATGTTCCCCCCTCGCGACGACGTGACGACGACTATCACAAGAGTTTTCGTCTTTTTCCAGTCCGCTTTCTCCATTCTCGTGAACTTTACGCACTTTGTTTTCAACGTTTTCACTTTTATTAACACTTTCCGCTTTTCTCTTTTTCTTTTTACCGCCGCAGGTTTCTTCTATGTTATCAACTAATATTTCATCTATTTTCGTACCGTTTATTTTTATTCGATTCGGAGAGAGATCCATGGTTTCTTGCAAAAAATTTTTTTTACCACAAACACCATTTTCAATTATCTTAAAGGATTCGACGCCGATCGTCGTCGTCGTTGTCGTCGTCGTCGTCGGCGGTGGCGTCATAAACATTCCGCATTTTATCTTTTTCCTTTCCTCGATGCATTCGGCTATGATCGGCAAATTTTGTTGTTGTTTCTTACTCAACATCGGTAAAAATTCTTGAGAACTTATGGCTAACAAACCTCCTTGTGTTGTCAAACAACGTTCGATCGGTTTCTTTTCATTTTTCCTTTGACTCCCCGCGTGATTCCACGTCGCCGACGACGCCACTACGACCTTTGAACTTTTACCCGACGATTCCGCGTTCCCGTAATTTCTGCTAATTGACAAATCTTTGACTTCTCCATCATTTAAACACTTAACAATGTCCGTTTTGTATTTGACCGGTTTCAAATCCTGTCCCGTTTGCGATCCCTCCCATTTGATGTCTGATATCGTTTTCATCGTTTTACCATCCCAGTTCGGACGTGCCGAATGAGTGATAGGACTCGGTTGAGGAGGCATTCCCGCCGAACCCCGAGCCGGACTCGGAGGACCCGCGGCACCGGGGGGCTCCTGTGGCAATTGAAGAACCACAGGAGGAAGAGGCAAAGCTCCGGGCCTCTTACACTCTCCAGTAAGAGGCCCAATATGGACGTTTTTTGGACACAGCTGCATTGGACAAGGACAACTTTGATATGTTTGCTCTGAAACATACAAATGAAAAAAAAAAAAAAAATTCCTTTTAAAATCCGTTTCCCGTAAAAAAATTTTTTTTTTTTTTTTACTTGTCTCACCTATGAAAGCTAAATTCCTAGACGACGGTGGATTGTTATAACAAGCAGGACCGGGTCCAGGAGAATATCCCGGATAGTATGGATGCGGATATGGGTCCAAAGGTGTCGAATAACTGCTTGACGCACCACCGGGAACTACCATTTGCTGACTTCCATGATCTATTTTTTTTTTTTGGGTAAATTATCAAATGACTAAATTAATACAACAAAACACTAAAACAACCGCAACAACAATAACAACAACAAACAACAACAATAAAAAAAAATCGCGATGCAAAAATTGTAATTTTTTTTTTTTTAAACAAGCTTTTCATTGCTACCAACATCACAATAAAAAAAAAACCTAAAAAATCATAATAAAAATATTAACAATAATAAATCCTCGCCATATTCAGAATATTAACAAACAAACAAACGGAACAAACAAGAACAAACGAACAACAACAGCGAAAAAATGATACCCGGAACCGATTTTTTAAATTCTAAAATCACAAAAAAAAAACTCTACTTTTTTTAAAAAAATTTTCCCGCCAATTTTTCAAATAAAATAATAATAATAGCGGAAACGGTTAAATTTAAATGGATCCGTCGTAATTTTTCCATTCATTCAATGTCGACTCAATTTAATTACAAACAAAATAACAACAAACAATTAAACGTAATCCCGATTTTTTTTTTTTAATCGACCTGTTGCTTTTTTAAATAAATCTCTTTTAAAATTAAATAATCGTCTGCTCTTGTTTTCATTTTTTTTTTTTTTTTTTTAAACTTTTAAATATCAAATAAGTGCAAAAAGCAAAAAATTTTTTTTTATTTTCGATTACGTACCTTGAGATGGTGAAGGTCCGGACGAACCATATGTCAGTTCTGGCGAATAATAACTCGGAGGAGGTTGAAGAAGCCGCCTATACGAACCCGGAGGCGGAGGATAAGCCGACGGAGGATATCCAGGCGGATAACACAAATCCTGACAACAACAACAACGGAAATAATTTTTAATTAATTTTTTACGAGTCAAATAATAATGAAAGTTTGTTCGTTTGTTCTGTCGTTTATTACCTGGTGATGATGATAATGTTGATGAAAACTCGGCGGCGGCGGGGGAGGAGGAGGAGGCGGAGGTTGATAATGAGCCGATTGCGGCGGTGGAGGAGGATAATAACTTCCCTGATAATAACCGCTTTGATAAGATGGATAACCCCGAGGATATCCCATATGATGAGCCGCCGGAGGAGGTGGGGGTGGGGCCTGTTGAGGCGGTGCAGATGTGCTCCCGCTTCTTCCGGAAGGTTCGGAAGGTTCTTCGCTTGCCGACGTCGGCGTTTGAGATTCGCTAGCGTTTCCCGAATCCAAATTTGTTATGTTTCCACCACTTTTACCGGGACCAGAATTTGATGCGTGATGATGTATCAATGGACCAGCGGGTTGAAAATAACCTGATGACAAAAAAAAAAAAAAACAAAATATTAAAAAGACGATATCGATTTAAATCGATTTTTTTCGATTAATCAAACGATCACGCAAACGCCAAAAAAAAAAAACAAACGCTAAAGTTCTAATTCAATCAATTTTATATAAAAAATTTTTCATTTATTTATTTATTATTATTATTCTTCTTTTACAACAGCCAACAAACAACTTCTAGAAAATAAAAATTAAAAACAACCACAATAACAAACAAACAAACTAAACAACTCGAGTAAACTTAATTTTATTAATTAAAAATCGTAACACGTTTTTCTAAAAAGAGGGAGAAGGAGAGAGAGAGGAAGAGAGAGAGAGAGAAAAAAAAGGGAACCGAGTGGGGATGACGATTAATGACGTAGACGACAGGAACACAATTTCAACCCTTTAAACTTTTTTTCTCCCTCCCCGCCTCTCCCTCCTCCTCCTCCCCCTTATTCCTTTAACTGTAATAAAATACAAATTAATTTTTTTTTTAAGGGGGTTGTAAATCACACGCTGAACCGCTGAAACCGCTCTCTATTTAAATAACGGGAGAGAGAGAGAGAGAGAGAGAGAGAGAGAGAGAGAGAGAAAACAAATTCGTACGGTGAATGCGATTCATCTCGAATTCTCACAATAATTAAAAAAAAATTTTTTCCAAACATTCGACTAACATTCCGTGGAAAAAAAAAAAATGTCGCCGTCGTAATAATAATAATAATAATACATGTAAATAAGGGATGAAATATTCGACAATATTAAAGGGGTAAAGGGGGTATAAAATTTATGGAGATGTGACGACAACGAGAACATAAAAGAGAAGTGCGAGAAGTGATACGAAAAAGAATGTTATGATAAACGATCAGAGAGAAAGAGAGAGAGAGAGGGGGTGGAAAGGGGAGAAGAGGCGGCGGTGGTGGTGGTGGCGGCGGCGGCGATAAAAGCAAGAGAATTCTCCGTGATGGAGACGACTCACGCAAATGACCTTTCTCCAGACATATTCAGGTCATTTGGAGAGAGAGAAAGAGAGAGAGAGAGAGAGAGAGAGAGAGAGAGAGAGAGAGAGAAAGAATCCGCTTAATGTTGTTGATCGTATATAAACTTCGGGTCGAACGAATCGAGATTATTATTTAAAAAAAAAAATAAATAAATTTTTTTAATCGAGTTTTTTTTTTTTTTTTATTCAGGTTCGGCATGCACAGAATGTCGCACACACGCAAACACGATTTTAACGTTTTATCGACAAATTACGAATCGAAGCGACGCGAGTGGCCAAAATTAAAAGAAAAAAATTCATTCATAACAATTTTTTTCCCCGTCGAAATTTTTGTTCCCTCCCTCATCTCTTCCCTTCCTCGTTTCCCCCTCCCCCAAACACCCATCACCGATACCTTAATTAAAACTCCCTCTCCTCTCCCCCCCCAAAAAAAACCTTTCTTCTTTTTTTACGTTCGTTCTTTACTCTCATTTCCGCCCCTCCCCCTTCTCATCACCTCCTCCCCTTCTACCTACTCCATGACCTCCGGATAAATCCTCATCATTGTTCCAGCATCCGGTATCATTCATAATCACGATAAAGGTAACACGTAATCAATTATCTACCCTTTTCCATTCATCCTCCCCGTAAAATTCAATTAATAATAATAATAATAATAAGAAATACGACGAAAGCGAAGCGAAGCGGAGTGGATCCGGGGGGGGGGGTAGCTAACCCGGTATTTGAGAAGAAAAACATAAATACCCGGCGAAAAAAAAAACGACAACAACAACCACAACAACCACAACGAGGTCGTTAATTTGTTAAAAACCATCGAATGAGGAGATTCCGTTTATACGACGACGGGGGGAGGGAGGGGGCGGGAAAGAGAGAAAAAAAACAAACGATTACATCCTTCCGTAGAATGCACATGCATTCTCGTAAAAAAAAAAAAAAAAAAAAAAAAGATTGAGGAGAGAGAAAGAGAGAGAGAGAGAGAGAGAGTAAGAAAAGAGAAAGAAGAATTTGACGGTTTCATCGTGAAAGTGGGACGACACAATACTATAAAAATTTTCACCTCGACGTCTTCGCTCGTCGTCGATTCTTATTACCTGCCCGAGTTTTTTTTAAAACAGACGCACTCACGCACGTACACGCACGCACACACGCACACGCACACCGTTCACAAAAAAAACACCTTTCACACAAAAATGCATAAGTAAGTAAATAAATAAATAAATCACGGCTTTCATATTTTTTATTTTTTTTTAATGTAAAAGGAAGTTTTCAAAGGTATAAAACGATATCAAATTTAATCAGGTTAAAATCACGCACGCAGGCACGCACGCACTCTCTCTCTTTCTCTCGCACAATAACTTTCTCTTTGTACACTTTTTCTCTCTCTCTCTCTCTTTTTCTCACACATACACATACACACTCGCCGGTTCGGATATTATTATCCGTTTTTTCATTCTCGTCGTATGAAGGGATAGGTGCAAAAAGAGGAAACAACAACTAGGAAAAAACTAAACAAATCGAAATATAAAATAAGAAGAAGAAGAAGAAGAAACGACAAGAATAATAACAACAACAACAACAACAATAATAATAATAATAATAATAATAAAAGAAAGAAAAATGGCGTTAAAAATTTTTTTTTTTTTTTTAATTTTTATTGGGTCGTAAAAAATACATTTTTAAATTCTTGTCGATGATCCGTTGATCGATTCATCGATCGATCGATCGATCGATTCACGATAAAAATAAAAAAATAAAATAATAATAATGATAATGATGATGATAATAATAAATAAAATTTCATTTAATCACTCTCTACGGCTTTCTCTCGAAATATCATTAATTATCATCGTCGTCATCATCATCATTATCATCATCATTTGATTGTAAATAATAATAATAATAATAATAATGAAGTTCAATCGAGTGTAAAATTTTATTTCCTGATTGTAATAACGCAATAAGTGTTCGGTCAATCGATGGGTCTTGATGACAACAACAACTTAATAAGAACGAAACGTTTTCCTCTCGCCTCACCGGCGAACCTTACATGTACCTCCTTCACCTCCTCCTCCTCCTCATCCTTCGACAGGTACGAGTAAGCATAGCACACAGGTAAGAGTATTATTCTACTACAATCCGAACAAACGATTCGTAAGATAATTAATAATAACAATAATAATAATATTGATTTTTTATCTCTTTCTCTCCCACTCACTCTTCCTACCCCCCCGTCTCTCTTTCTCTCTCTCTCTCTCTCTCTTAATGATTATTGCTGAATTTTAAATACGTCTACTGTAGTACAACCGCCGCAATAACAACAACAACAATAATAATATTAATAATAATAATGATATTAAAACGAGATTGAAAACCTGTTTGCAGAAAAAGAGAGAGAGAGAGAGAGACAGAAAATACGAGGAAATACGTTGCTAATAGAAAGAGACATCGATGGCGGTGGCGGTGGCGGTTTGACACACACGCGCGCGCGTTTAATCACTCAATCTCATTTAAAACCGACATTATTATTATTATCATTATTTATTCCTTTGAGAGCAAAAAAAAAAAAAAAAAATATTGTTGGCACCACTGCTCAAGTAATATAATGATGAAAAAAAAAAAAAAAACGTAAATAATAAAGACGTTCCGACGACGAGTTAATAAAAATATTTTTGCAATCAATTTTTCTTTTCTTTCGCTTTCCTTTCTTTTCTCTCTCTCTCTCTCTCTCTCTTTTCTCCCCTCCCTTTCCCCCTCCCACGTTCATTCAGCCACCCGAAGGATCCGACAATTACAAACTCATCAATCGACTCAGAAACAACACCTTGTAAAAAAAATTATTATTATTATTGTTTTAGCAGAAGATAATCGATATACCTGAGAGATGAAAGTTTTTCTTTTTTTTTTTTTTTTTTTACTAATTAAAATTGTTTGTTTAACACCTTTTTATTTGTTTGTTTGTTTGTTTGTTCGGTTGGTTGTTTGGGTTCGGTGTTCGGCTTTCCTTGACTGACATTATACCATTTTTTATTTCCTCATTTAAAATCGTTATTATCATTATCATTATTCGCGCGTTTTGACGCCGTTTTATTATTATTATTATCATTATTGAGTTTTTATGTAACCGTTAATTATATAAATAAAAGAGAGAGAGAGAGAGAGAGAAAGACAGAGAGAAAAGTTATTACGCACGCTGATTTCTATAGGAAATTCTAGAATATTATTATCAAAAAAATGACGTCGATGACGACGACGATGATAATAATAATAATAATAATAATAATAATAATAATAATGATGATGATTATGATGATGATGATGAAAAAGCTCCGACTGATCTAAAATGCGAATTTCGAGAATAAAAACAGAATCGGACGACGAACCGAAGTTCGAATCGGAAAAAATAATAAAAGTTCTCCCCTCCCTTCCCCCCTCTCACCAAAAAATAATAATAATGATAATGGCGATCGTCGTCGAGATCGTTTTCGCGAGTGTGGGGGGTGGGGGGGGTGAGGACGATCTTTATCGTAAAACCTTTTTCATCATGTCTTACCTTTGAGTAACCACGCGGCCATCATCATTTCTTTGAGATGTGGCGAATTCATAAAAATGGACGCAGTCGACGCCGAAAAATTATTATCCAAATTGAAAGGAAACAAAAATGAATCGATCGATATCGACGAGGAATCGATTGTTTTACTCATGTCGTCGTCCTTGTTTGTCGTTTTATCGCACAATTTGCAACATTTCATTTTTTCATCAATCAATCAATCGTAAGTAACAATGAAAATGTTATTATTATTATTATAACTACTTTTGTTGTTGTTTTTTTTGTCCATAAAGTCTTATGTGCACGGAACGACGACAACAACAACAACAACAACAACAATAAATAATAATAATAAACGAAACGTAAAAATAAATAAACAGTTTTTTTTTTTTCCGATTCCGGAATTTCACATCACGTTTAGAAAAACAAACAACAACAACAACAACAACGCACTATATTTGTTTTTGTTTTTTTTTTCTAAAACAAACGAATAAAAAATAATAATAATGATAATGATAATGATGGTCCGCTCATTATCATTAATATTATTATCATCATCGTCACCGTCGTCGTCATTTTCGATTCACTCCAATAAATCTCATCACGTATGAATCGATAGATCGATCGATCGATCGATATCATCACATCGACCTTCTACGATTCGACAATCGAATTCATTTTTTTTTTTTTTTTTTTTTTTTTTGCGATCGACGAGAAAAAGTTTTGTACGTGTCGACAATAACAAACGCAACCTCCCTCCTCTCTCCCTCTCCCCCTAACACCCCTAAAAAAAAAACAAACAAACGGGCGACAAACAAAAACAGAAAAAAAAAACGAAAAGGAAAAAGGGGGGAGAAACGGGAATCGACAAACATTTTTTATAAAACTGCGACAAAAAGAGAAATGCCACCATGTTTCTTTCTTTCTTTCTCTCTCACTCTCTCACTCTGTCTGTCTCTTCCTCTCTCTCTCAAAAAAAAAAAAAAAAAAAAAGAAACCGTTTAGGCCTTTGGGCCTTGGCAAACTAAAATATTATTAAAAGGCAGTCAAGTCGTCGGCGGTTTTTCTCTTCTTAGGACAAGGACAACCGGATTCGAGGATAAAAATTGAGTCTAGGGATAGAATTAGTCGTAAGTTAAACATTAAAAACGAGGAAAATTGTTTTTTTTTTTCTCCTTTAAAAATACAAATAAATAAATAAATAAAACATTTCAAAGAGTCATCCTTGTTTGTGTGAAAAGAAAAAAAAAAAAAATCAAATCGACGATGATGATGATGATGATAATGATAACGATAATAATAAACGATAATTCCGTTTTTTATCCAGCCTGGACTTATACTATAACACGAATCACCCCCCTCCCCCTCCGAATTTTGGAAAAATTTTGAAAAAAAAAAAAAAAAAAATGCCAAATGCAAAAAATCATTTTTCCAACGTGAAATATATTTTAATAACTAAATTTTTGGCCCTTGTTTTTTTTTTTTTTTTTTTTTTTTTTTTTTTTTACATTTTGTCGACAACGTGGAAAATTGCCAACGAAAGATGTTTTCAAAAAAAAAAAAAAAAAAAAATTAAAAATTAACGACGATGATAATAATAATAATAAAATTTTCATTCACCCGCCCACCCACTCACTCACTCACTCACTCACTCGAACTGTCCCTCTTATAATTTCAAACACGACAAGAGATTTAAATTTTCCCGCCAAAAACAAAAACCAACGACAAGTAAATAAATATCCGACAATTTTCCCTATCGTCATCATCAACAGCATCACCATCAGCAGCAACAACAACAAAAACAACAAACAAAAACAGAAACGCCGGTTGACAGAAATCACTATTATTATTATTATTATTATTATTATTATTCAATTAAATAAACCTTCGGGAAACAAAAAAAAAAAAAAAAAAAAAATTTCCAAACGTTTTATCAACATCATCATTATTATTATTACCGGATATTAAGTCATTAATCAATAAAACGTTTAACAAAAACCTCAATGGAACGTCACTCAAATT